CCTCCTCCTCCTCTTCCTTCTCCCTCCTCCTCCTTCTCTTCTTCCTTTTCCTCTTCTTCTTTTGTCTTTTTCAGACAGGGTCTCACTATGCAGTTCAGGTTGGCCTTGAGCTCACTTTGTAGCCCAGCCTGGTCTTAAACTTGAAACTATCCTCCTGCCTCAGCCTCCCAGGTGCTGGGATTACAGGCATGTGCCATCACATCTGGCTCATGAACTGCTCTTTGAACCACGAGTTTTCAGTCTCCATACAGGCTGTCCAAAAATTGCTAATGCAGACTATACTTCAAGTCGCCATGGCAAGGCATTGGGAAAAGTTTTCAATTAGTAATAATCATGCCTTGGATAATCCTCACAGCTACTGCCACTGTGCAAAGCTACAAGTTCATTCTTTATTTTTTAAAAATTTATTTGTGTGTGTGTGTGTGTGTGGCCAGCTCAGCCCACCAGGGGGCGGGGCTGACTGGCATGTGGTGCTGGGGGATTGAACTGCGGTCCCTGTGCTTTGCTAAGCTTGTTCTAAGTAGGTGCTTTAGACACTGAGCCATCTCACCAGCCCAAGTTCATTCTTTAAAAAAGTTTTTCTTTTTGAAATTAGTGTATGTCTTTAATGCATAGTAGTTATGCTTTCTTTGGAGAACTCATACATGTTTACAGTGGATCCTGATCTCTGACTGTTTTGTTCTTTTCTCTCCGTCCCCTAACTCCCTTTCTCCAGCTCTGAAAAATCAGCTGACTTGTTTCCTACCATTTTCTTTTTTTCTACTAATTTATTTATATTTTAGGCTTCTCACAGAAGAGAAACCATGCACATTCAGCCTTCTGGGTCTGACCTGTTAACACAAGTTTATTCTCATCAGCCATCACCTGATCTCATTTTGATCTTAAGCCCCAGAAGAAAATAATACTTATGCCAGCAGAAATGCTCCATGGCTTTACACAATGAGTGCGCTACTACTTTTGAACTTTTAAGGCTCACATTCATCCTGTGAGTGAGTGGTGTCTGACAGCGGAAGATATTCCTTTTGACAAAACATCTCAGAAAGGGAAAAGTTTGTTTAATTAACAGATTCCTCTCCATATGAGAATGTACTGTTTAAGAAGCAAAACAATTGGTTTATTATTATTATTATTATTATTTAATATATTTGGTTGTTGCAGGGTCTCACTATGCAGTTCAGACTTATGGTGATCCTCCTGCTTTCAGCCTCCCCAGTGCTGGGATTACATGCGTGCACCACTACACCCTGCCCTGGGGTGGGGCTGGTGCAGCATGGAGTGTTGGGGATCGAATTGCGGTCCCTTGTGCTTGCCTAAGCAGGCACGTTAGTCCTCTGAGCTATCTTGCCATCCCTTTTTAGTTTTTATTTTTATTTATTTATTATTTTTGCTGAATCGGGGATGGGACTTGGGACTTTGCATTTGCCAGGCAGGCACTTATGCCACTGAGCTAACCCCAGCCTGAAATGGTTTAATTTGAAAACAGAGGTGACTGTTTTCAGCGTGACGCAGGCCATGTCTGTCACTAATCAGGACCCGAAAGTTAAGAACAGAGAGAAGAAAACAAAAAGCAAACCTCTTCCAGTAAGACAGGTAAACCAAGTCGGACAGAATTTTCAAGTGTTCGTAAGAAATTCCGATCTGTAAGCTTAATGATCTTTAAGCCGCTTTTGTTTTCCTTGTTCCTTATCCAGCGGTTCGCCTGCAGGAGAAATCATAGAGTAGAGCATTTGCCTTAAAGTGTGTTAAAGGGTAAGAAATAAAAGTTTTAGAAAAAGAGTAGGCACTTTGTTCAATGTATAGACAGAATGGAAGCAGAAAATAAAATCTCTAGTCAGTAAAAACATCTTTTAAGCTCAATGTTTGGCATTCTTCATTTGGCTTCAATTTATAACAAATGCAGAAAAACATCACTTGAGGCAAAGTCCGTGTTTAAGCTATTCAGCTTTGTCTTCCTGGCTTTCATAAGGGCTTTCATTGATGATCCCTGTTTCATACCATCTGATCTTTGGATTTAGGGACCAGTCAGTGAGGTTCTGTAACTTCCAGGCAGGTTTTTCAAGGTTTATCATACCTTGCCTTCATCTGGACTCCTAGATCTTTCAGGAATGCAGACTATGTTGGAATGAATTTTTGCCACCATAGAAGAGAAGACCTAGTGGTCAACTCCCAAACAAAACCAAAATCAAAGTCAAATATGTCCCTTCTTACATTCTCTGTCCTCATAGTGAAGGACTCAGAGCAGAAAGCTTCTTATCTCCTGAGCCTGAATTTCCATGATCTTACAAATATATTAAAGTCCACTTTCACACTTATTTGTAACTCAATATTGAGCAGAGCTAATATCTGCTGTTTGTTGGAAGCATTTGTTACACACCTGGTCTTGGGGATCAATCATCAAAGGCCACCGTCTCCCCTGAGTAACCAGAATGCCATTTTCTGTTGAGATCAAGTCCCGGGGCAGACCGTCTGCGTTCCATTGCCGTATCTCATAGGGATCTCCAAGAATGTTAATGAGACTGAAGGAGGGGTCGATTGGGACCTGCAGTTGCTGGCAGTACTCTATCCAGCACTCTATAAGCTGTACAAGGAGTAGAGTTTGCAGAGAGAGATTCAGGAATGCTTAATAAATAAAGGCACTTGCAATACATGTTGGACCAGTGGAAGCCAGTGGCTGGAAGAGTTTGTCCCTCACTGTCTCCTCGGGAATCTTGGTGTCAGAGCAGGGGACACAGGAAGTGCACTTGTTGTCAGGAGACATGGTGCTAGGGCCATACCAAGGGCTGCGCCTTTGAGCAGGTCCCTCTCCCTGGATGACAAGGTTTCCTGTCCTGTACATGACTAGGTTGTCACAGGGATTTTCAACAAGGTGTGTGTTGCTTGTCTCAGGAGTATTGAAGCATGTGGGGAAGTCTGGGATTGTCACAATGACAGAGTTGCCACTGGCAATCGGCACATGGAGGCAGGGCCGTGGGAGGGGAGGGACATGAGTGAAGAGCACACGACAAACACTGTCTGTCCCAAAGCCACCACTGGCCTCAGGGAGCAGAATGGCACCAGGTGACCCCGAGCTCCTGTGGCCTCAGATGAATCTTAGGCCAGGTTTTGTAACACAAGAGGAGAGCAAAGTGTTCTGCAGGAAAACACTTCATAAAAGGGACTCTAAGATCCTTCCCGATAATTCAGCTTCCTGGAAATGGTACAAAAATGGAACTTTTATCTTCTGATAAATGAGAGTTTTTAGTTTTTAGAAAGAGAAAAGCCCAAGAAACCATGGGTTCATGCTGTGTGCTGCTTGTTCTCACTTCGCAGCTCTGTAGGGACTCACTGTCTCCCTTCTTTCTCTCGGGTTTTTATTTATATTTATTCTTTTTTTTTGCGGAACCGGGGATTGATCTCAGGCCCTTGCACTTGCCAGGGAAGCGCTTATTCTGCTGAGCCATCTCCCCAGCTCCATCTCTCAGGTTTTTGGAGGAAGAACTTTCTCAGATGGAAGAAGGAAAGGGAGACACATGTTAAGGAATCCTAGGAATAGACTACCAATGGCCCATGGGAGGGGTGGAGTGCTGAGGAAAATAGAATACTGTATACAATTATATAACATGATTAATGAATGTATAACATCTAGATAATATAGAATAATGTAATATACATTTATATGTAATTGCCCATATGACTACAAACACAATTAATGTATTCTGCTGTAGTTACATAAATTTACATACTAAATTTTTCCCTGGTGCACCTCTGCAGTGGCCAGCCTGCATCTGAACGCAGGGAAGGGAGCCCACCGCAGCCCCAGCGCCGCCTGGCCGCTCTTTTGGGAGGTGGCCTCACTCACCATTTGCCTGTACTGGGCCGTGAAGGCTCCGTAGTAAGCCACGCAGGCCGCGGCTATGAACACGTTCCCAGTGATGTTCGAAATCTCCTCCTCGAATTTCTGGATGCTCTCTTCCCACCGAACCTGCTCGTCTCCCAGCGCAGCCGTCAGCTTTCCTGCGCGCACCAGGCGCGCTTTCGTCAGGGCCATGGTCTTTGCTGGCCATGTGAACACCAAGTCATGTTATTAAGTATCTTCCTAAATGTCACCCACCTGCTTTTGCTTGGAGAAGGATTAATGCTGCTTAACTAAGGGCCTGAACACTTTATGAAATCTCATGCTGACTCATTTTGTTTTCTATTCGTCAACCAAGGGTAAATTTGCCTCTTCTGTGAGGAGAGAGCTCTCTCTTTTGGTAGCTTAAAAAAAATTAATTTGTTTTTTATTTTGAGACAAGGTCAAGATAAATTGCATAGGTGGAACTTGAACCTTCTAGTCCTCCTGCCTCAGCCTCCCAAGTGGTAGGTTTTTGGGCAAGTGCCTGGCTCCCAAAATCTCTCTGTTTTTCTTATTTTTGGTATTGAGTATTGAAATCAGGGTTTTTACATTGAGCTATATCCCCTGCCCCTAATATTTTTTAAATTTTGAGACAGTCTTGTTAAATTGCCCAGCCTGAGCTTATGCTTGTGATCTCTTGCCTCAGCCTCAGAGTCCTGGGCTTCCCCCCCGGATGTGCAGCACCACATCTAGCCCTGAGAACTTCCTGATGCCATTACCCTGCTGAAGCTAGTGCTGTCTGTGTCACCTTTATGTCCCTTTCTAGATTAATCTCATGTGTTGTCTTGAGTTGCAATGCTGTATGCTCCAGTAAGCCTCACTGGGTACAGGGTGCTGCTTGTAGACAGCACCTCGTTTGATACGAGGAGGTGAGTGAAGAGGAGCACTCGAAGGATTTCCTGCATGTCAGAGGAAGGCTGAGGCCTAAATGCCGGGAAAGTCTTCCTACCTTTGAAAACCAGGCGCTTCCTTCCCAGGGTAAGTTTTATGAATCGCTTACCCAAACTTTCTTTTTCATTTACACCTTTGTCATATTCATCTCGCAAGGCTTGTATTTGACCTTCCACTTGTTTTAGTAATGCTTGCTTTTCTCTGAGGGTAGCCATTGTAACATCAAGTTCAGCCTAATAAAATCAAGCAAATATTTAAAAAATAAGACTGAATTTTCCCACTTATTATAATTGATTTTCTAAACAAAATATGACACATTCTCTCTTACATGTCCAGAAAAAGACCCTCATTGATATATATAATTAAAACACTTAAAAGCTTGGGAAAAATATAAAAGCAGAAGCAAACAAAAGCAAAATATAAAAACAAAAAGCTCAATGAAATAACCTGCAAAAGGAACAAAGAAATAGATACATTCATCATTTGAGATCAGTTTGATACCAGGATAGGTTATTATTTTAAATCATGAAACAAATAAAATATTCATGCAATAGTGAAAAAACTAATTTTCCTAAGTAGTTGTTTGCCTCAGGGGTATGCTAACTGTGTCCTGAAGGCCATAGCTAGCTGGCTTGGTTTTGGTACAGTCTGTGGACTAAGAATGTTTTTAATTTTTTTTACAATGAATAGAGAAAATCAAAAGAAGAATATTCTGTGATGTTCTTTCATACCTGTGTGGAAATTTGAAAAAAAATATTTTGGTGCATAGCCATGTTTATTCATTATATTGTCAAAGGCTTTTTATGTGTGTGGGGGTAACAAGGGTTGAGTCCTTAAAACAGAGAGCAGATAGCCCACAATAATGAAAGTATTTATTGTCTAAATCTTTCTAGAAAACTTTTGTGTATTCATCCTTTAGACCTATGATTTTTTTGGTTCTTTTTTTTTTTTTGCGGAACCGGGGATTGAACTCAGGCCCATTGCACTTGCCAGGGAAGCACTTATTCCACTGAGCCATCTTCCTGACCCGGTTCTTTTCTTTACTAAATAATCATTATTTGTTTTTCTTGAGAAGACTAGGGACTTTACATCCAACCGTAGCTCTAAAAACCTCACATGATCTCAGACGTGGGAGTATTTAGCAAATGGAAGTACAGTGTAGAATATCAGATGCTAGAGGAGCAGGTCCATCAAAAATACATAGCTGTATTTCTTCTTTTTTCAGATGAATATGCTAAGGACTCACTTTCCTTTTATACTAGAAGAAGGCTGATTTTATAGAAAGTTTATGAGAAAAAAAGAACCCCTCCACTGTCAGTTTATTGTTTAAAACAATAACTAATTTTCAAAAACCTTGTCACTGTTCATATTGGATAGGATCAGTGGCATTACGTAAACAGCTTGAATGGCCAAGAATCACGACCTTTAGTTCTATCAGATAGCACAGTATAGGGGCCAGGAATACAGCTCAGCGGCATAAGCACCTGCCTGGCAAGTGCAAGGTCCTGAGTTCAATCCCTGGTACTGAAAAAAAAAAAAAAAATCACAGTATAGGTAATGTACCTGAGCTGCGCGGAGTTTTTGTCTTTTGGGTTCGACCTCCTTGAGTACGCGCGAATACAGATCCATTGCTCTTACCCACATGCACATCGACTTACACGCTTTGGATACTTTTTCTACTTTCTCGGGCACAAAGTCAGGGTTATTAATATACTTCTGAAGCTTTGCCAGTATCTGAGGCTTTATGTTCTCCTTGTCATATTCTAAAAGCCTTCTTAGGAAGTTAGAATCACCAAGAAGCTGCTTTGCTGTTGGCCAATCAGGCCTGAAAGACAGACGAGGTAAGTTAGCGACACTGTAATCAAATAATTACGTAAAAGAAAAGATGTATTTTTCTGAGAACATGATGTTATCCCAATAAGTAGGGGCTTTTCCTCTCAGTGCAATACTTCCAGTAATTGGTAGTTATGTGCACCACAATTAATTCACGAGGAGAAAGATAATTGGATGACCGAGGGGCTACCCAACCCAGATGTCGCAGAAAAAGATTATAAAACAGTAGGGTTATAGAATGTAAAGAATTATGGCAACAATTATTTCATTTCAAAAATGCTCTAGGTTCTCACATTTTATCTCTTTTGCTTTAGTTTTGACCTTTAAAAAAAATCTCCTGCAGGAACATCACAAAAAATAAACTTCTAACTGGCCTTTCTTTTTGTCAACCTTGCTCTTTAGAACTTTTGCCACACTGCTGTTTCTACTATAAATATATGATTAGGTTAAAAAAAAAAGTTTAATAGCTCTCAATTCCTCTGTTCATGGGCTTTCTATCTGTGCTTTGTGGAGGCTCCTGCCCCATGCCATGGTGCCAGTCATAATGACATCATATCCTGGGGGTGCTTAGGAAAATTGGAAAATTACATTTCTTCATAGTGAAGTCTGAACTGCTTGGTGGATACATACAGGATCTTTCGTGATTTTGTCTCTGTCCCTCCACCAGACCCAGTGCTGTCCCATTCCATGAGCATCTCAAGTCCCTGAAGTCTTGTCACGGTCACACCTCCACCTGAGCTAACACTCTGAAAAAGTGTTGTCTTGTATCTCACTCCCCACTGGGGTGTCTGCATCTTGGAGGACAAAACTTTACCTCTTCCATGATTGAGCATAAAATAGATGCTGAAAAAAAAAATGCCTGTTGGGTCAATTTGTTGAATGACTGATCAAATTAATGAGAGATTTTGGAAGAGAATGAACAAACTATATGAAAATAGGGGAAAAGAGTAAAGACATTCCACCCGATATTCTAGTAATACGTGACCCTGAGTTACTCACTTGGCATTTAAGAGAATAGAGATTGCTTCCATTACAGTCATGACCAAATCTGGCGGCTTTGTAAAAACTCTGATTTCAGATATATCGGCTTTATCTAAAGAATCCAGGGCCTTATTGGCAGCTTCGAGTGCAGGTAGAGCTTCTTCAAGATCTCTTTGAGCGTCGTCAGCTATTGCTTGGGTTTCCTCAGCTTTCACTTTTGCTATTGCCTCTTCATCTTGCACAATATTGCGGACCTGCCGGTTGGAACGCAACTGCTTAAGCAGACTCGTTAGAGACCGAGCTCCCAATTGGAAAGCCTGAAATTTACACTGCTCCAAAATCTGAAACTTTCTGAGTGCCAGCCTGGTGCCACAAATGGAAATTTCCCAGCCAGAACACGGGCACACTGAAAATGCTGCCTGAAGTGACCTTCGTTTTATACAAAAGTACATTTAGGTGTAGACTTGGATCTCACCCTGCAGACATCTCACTATGGATATGTAAATATTCCAAAAGCTGGGAAAATCCTAAATACCAAACACTTCTGGTCCCAAGTATCTCAGAAAAGGGCTACTCAGCTGTATTTGAATTTCAATGTTTTAAAATAAAGCTAACAATAATGGGTTGTATTTGCCCTTTGGATTAGATCAATAATGAGCAGGAATTACTAGATTACATTTGATGCTGCTCGGCCACCTCATGCCTTATTGGTACCACAGTGGGATTATACTATTATAGCAAGCGGTTCTTTCTTAGGAGAAGGATAGCTGCTGCGTGGGGCGCTGTTCCTTTCAGTACTTCAGTCCCACATATTGAGCTGCCTCCTCCTCTAGCACAGAACCAGGCTAAGTGAATACAAGGAGACTTCACAACTTAAAAACACTGCCACCTTGCTGACAACAATCTCCGGGCCAGATCTATTACAGCATCATCACCACTGTATTTGAGCATGTTTGTAACGCAGAACAGCAATGTCCACTTAGGGGAATATGCATATAGCATATTTTGATTGTTTCAAACCCTTTACCCTCCTCTCCTTTTCTCCACTTAATTATTTTAATGGTATATGTAGCAAAGTAATCTGACTTTGCAGCAGTCTTTGTGAGCGGCCAGCTGCTGGCTGCTTCTTCTCAACCCCCATCGACTCATACCTGGTCAGCGCTTTCTTGATCCACAGCCAATTTTTCCATTAGGGCCTCAACATCTTGTGATTTTATGAGGAGCACAGGTTCTAAAGCGGAAAGGTCTAATTTCATTTTATCTACTAACACGTTTGTTTCTAACAGCTTGGTGAGACCATTCTTCACCCGATCTCGTGCCTAAATGGCAACCAAAAATTGCATTAAACGGGATATCATAGAACACAAGTTCACTGGCGTCTATTACTCATACAGTAAACTTCACACCATGAAATTAGTGAATCAATGAGTAATACTTCAAGCTGTGAAAATGCTGCAAGTTGGGAAATTGTCAGCTAAAGGAACTCTGGGAAGTGGCCACACGGTGCAGCGGGAGGCATTTGAAGTCATGTCTCCCGGCCACAGCTACGGCGCACTCCTGGCCTTGGCTTGGTGAGGCTCACACTGCATTGTTTTTATTCTCCATATTGCATGTTGAGAGAGGGAGGGACAAGTTCAGACAGGTGTCCTTGGAGGTCACAGCTGTTCACACAAGGTGCACCAGCCAGGCCGGGCTTACAGTTCAGGGGACTGGGTCTTGGGCGCCTGGCTGTGGGTGTGCAGCTGGCTTCTGTTTCCAAGGTGAAAACTCTGGACAAGCACATGTGGCAGAGGAGACAACTGAGAAGAGCTGCTTCTTGAAGGTGAGTCAGAAAGCTTGGTTCAAATTGGGAGGTTAAAAAATGTGTCTCCCAAGTTACCTTACAAGGCACGCGTTCTGAGGTAAAAATTCTCTGAAAAACACTCTGAATATCTAAATGGTAAATGATTCCATTTTTGTTGTGCTTAACATGCTGAAAATTTTAGGTCATGTTAAAAGCGCAAAGATAATGAGGATGGTGGCCACTATGCTCTGAATATTTTATATAGTCCAAGGATTGCATTATTTATTTTCTACAACAATTTGAGAGGGGCCTGGGAGATGGCTCAGTGGAATAAGCACTTGCCTGCCAAGCACAAGGGTCTGAGTTCAATTCCCGGTTCCGAAAAAAAAAAAAAAAAAAATCTTGTGTCCAAAAACAATTTGAGAACACTGTAGATACTTTTTTGGGATGGCTGTTTTTATTTTGTTATGAGAGACAAAATACTCTGTCAGAACACTGACATTTTAAGCGGAGGAGTTCAAAGATGGTTTCATTAGGGTGGAGCAGCACCTAAGCACTGTTGACATAGGTGCCTGAGATGTGGCTGGTAGAACATTTGATGGCAGAGTCTTTAATGAGAAAATTCAAGCTAAAAATAAGCCCAAAATTATAGTTTTTTTTTTTTTAACTAAACAGGCAATTGGAATCCATGGTACCAAAATAAGTGATAAGATTATTATAAAACAAAATGGACAGACTAAATATTCAATTTAATTTTCCACCTATGAGAATTGTGCAGTAAAATCACAGCTTACTTTGTATTCTAGACATGCTTGTTGGAACTGTTCATCCCAGGTTAGAATTAAGTAGCCAGGCAGGTTGCACATTGTGGTGTCATTACTACAGTAGTTTCTTTTTTTTTTTTTTTTTAAATATTTATTTATTTATTTTTTTTGGTATGTGGCCAGCTCAGCCCACCAGGGGGCAGGTGGGCTGGCATGTGGTGCTGGGGGATTGAACCGCGGTCCCTGTGCCTTGCTTGGCTTAGCTTGTTCTAAGTAGGTGCCTTAGACCACTGAGCCATCTCACCAGCCCAGTAAAGTTTCTTAAGATATAAACACTTCTTAAACTTCACTTCCTGCTAAAGTTTACAGAAATCACCTAACATGCTCAAGGGTATGCTGCGAAAAGCAGAGCTTAGGTTCCATGTGCTGTGGCTGACCCCAAAGTCTGTGGTCGTACTGGGGAGCATGGCATGTGTCACAGCACTAAGATCCCATCTTTATGGCTTCACAAGAGGTCTTCTTCCATATTAAATATGGTAGAGATGACTAGGACTCTGCTTGACTTCGATGTTGTTGGACTATACATCATTAGACTGTTACACATTGCTCTACAGATCATTATATAAATGTTAGAAGGAATATAAGGCACTAGGAAGGGGGAGCCATTGGAGTGACAGCCCAGGACCCTTTTGTAGACAAATAGTAAGTGGCTAAGGGAACGGGTCAGGACAAAGATGGTTTTAAAAAGTAAGACAGGTATACAGATTTGGTATTCATTACTGAAACTTTGGGGTTCAAGCAAATAACCTGTTCTTGTCAACAGCACTGAACTTACTGAAACCAACTGCTTCCTTTTCTCGGTCAGCATCGACAGGTAGAGGTTGATGAGCTCCAGGTAGGAGGTGGGCGTTGTGTAGTAGCGCCGGCGGAGCTCGGCGTAGTAGCGGTCTGCCATCTGGGAGACGCTCAGGTGCACGTTGACGCACATGAGAGAAAGCTTCTCTTTCAGTTCTTCATTGCCAGGGTCCACAGCTGAGAAAAACGTCTTTGATACAGAAAGAAGTGCTTCTTTGGGCCACTGTAAGTAAAGAAGCAATCTGGGAAATTTGTTGGTCATTTCAATAACAGGCAAAATAACAACCAAGCAAGCTGTATTTCTCCAGAGCATTTTCTTGGCTAATCTCTCTTAGCTAGATAACTCCTAAGCTTGGTAATAAGCTACGGTGCTTCAGGAAATGAATTTCATCCCTGTCCATCAGTGGTGGTGGGGGCCAGGGGATGGTCTCTAGCACAATGTCAAGCAGACAGAAGTGTTTAAAAAATAGGTAGGGACTGACTGACTGAATGATTGGGTGTCTGTAGTGTCTGTAGGATCCCACAGATGGAATCATACACACTGAGAGAACCTCATGTCCTTGCTGTATTTATTATTCTGTTGGAACATCAGGCTCATCATCATAATCTCTTTCCTGAACACACTTCTACTTCTTTACTCCTCTCCTGGTCCTTTGAGTTTACTGGAACCTTGTTCAGATGCAACCAAGCAGAATGCACATAGTCATGCAGATGGGCTTTGCTTTAAATGCACAACAGTTAACTCTTCTGTGCAGTCCACAAAGGTTTCTACATTTTCTCTTATGTCACTTTTGTCTCCTCCTGAGTATTTCACATCCTATTTTACTTCCTCAGGCTGCCAACCGTTCCTCTTCATTCTCAGCTGATGAATTTGCTTCCCGCATGGACAAAAAAGTAGAAGCAATGGAAATAGAACTTCTGTGAGTTCAGCCTTCCCCCACGTCCACTGGGCACCTCTGCTGTCCTCCCTGTCAGGGCAAGCTGTCCATCCTCCCTGCTCAGGGTGGTTAGGTCCCCTCACTGATGACTTGACCTCATCCTTCACTGCTTATTTAGGGACATGGATCTTCCAACAACTAACACTACCTGGGTCGTCAATGGATGTCTCTTCATGATGACCATTCTCAGCAGGTACACACATGCTGCTTAATTTTCTCACTTAAAAATACCCCTCACACACCCTTCCCCGCTTAGCTCTTATCCTCAACTCTACCTTCTTTGGCAAAGTTCTTGAGAGAGTTGCTTATGCTCATCTCTGGTTTTTCTCCCTACTCTCTTGAGCCCTCTCCCTTATCATCCAGTGAAACAGCTCTTGCCATGGCCACTGGTAACAACTACACTGTTTAATTGAAAGGTCTTCTCTTCCTTTATAAATTCTGTTCTGCCTTTGTTCTGTGACAGTCACTGTCATCCTAGTATGAGTAATTTCCCAATAGCATTTATTTATGTTTATTATTATTATTTTTTAATGTATTTAGTACAGGCTCTATAGGGGCTCATCACACAGATTGGACTCATAGTGATCCTCCTGTTTTTCAGCCTCCCAAGTGCTGGGATTACAGATGGGCCCCACCACATCCAATCTCAATCACCATGTCAGCATGCCCTGTGGGCAGGGCTGGCACAGCAGGCTGAGGATCAAACCCCTAGCTCCCGCATCTGCCTAAGCAGGTGCTTTAATTCGCTGAGCTATCTGGTCAGCCCTCCCAATAGCCTTTAAAGTTAATGCAACGCCCCAGAAAATGTCATCCACCTTTGAAAGAAGTAGGCTGGCTTTTCACAGAGGCATTTAGGAAATCACTCACCTGGACAAACCAGTCAATGGTGCAGCAGTTCACGAGGGAGGGGAACATCCTGCATCGGGACCGGAAGGCCTCTCCAACTGGGCTCATGCAGAGGACAATGTGTAGCTTCTGACGGACTCTGCTGATAAAGTACTGAAACACCTGACCAAAAGAAAAGTATTTTTTTCAGTTAAAAAGTAGGATGAGGCAGCAGTGAAGATTAGTGTTGGCAATGCATTTGAAGTTGCTACTTTCAGATTAAAAAAATGTTAGCATAGTAGAAGTGTGAATTGCTGTGTTGAATATCCACTGTGATTCCTTTCTTTCAAGAGCCCTGGGGAGATCGAAAACATTTTGCAGACTCCTTGCCGTTAGGCTTTTGGCTGTGACTCGAGTCCTCATCTTCTAGGTATTGGAGGAGACCTTTTGAGTAAAGTAGAGAGAGATATTCAAACCAGGTTTGGGCAAGGAAAGTGGGGAGAGCAGCAGGGAGCCAGCATCCGGTCCACAGGTGTGGATCTTGGGGAAAACGGCGTGGTCCTGTGGCTAGTACTTGCGATGTGGCCCCCTTAGCCACTTCCTGACATGAGGACAACACGTGGCTTTGGAGCTGGCAGCTGAAGCACAGCATGCTGACTGGTGAGTGGCTTTCTGGGTGTGCAGGGAAGGCTGTGGTGGAGGCAGAAGCACTCCTAATCATTGACCTCGACAGCATGTGCTTATACTCATTCCAGAAAGTTCCATCCAGTATCTCACTCTGCGGCCTTCCCAGTGTTTTTGTATCCTTTCGCTCAGTCCCTGTGGGCTTACCTTAGCTTACATAGACATGCTATCTGTATGTACTATAATAAATATATGGTTAATATTTAAATTTTAAATTCTTACAGTATCCAAGCAAGGGAGCATACTTATCCTTAATTCTTGCCACTTTCTGAAGAAATCCTGTGAGTCTTCTTTTGCAGTACTTTTGGTTGTACTCTCCCAGCTGCCCCCAATGTCTGGAATTGGCTGGAAATGTTTACCTTTCAGTGTCATTTTTGACTTTTGGGAAAAGCCAGAAGTTGCACGGTGCTAAATCTGTTTTTATTTGACAGGACATTGCTGTTCCTGAAGCAGTGTGTGGCAGGGAACATTGTCATGCCGGAGGATGAAACTGCCCATTTCTCAGGCCATTTTCTGGCTGTTTCACTTCTGAAACACTCCAGCAAGCCCTTACAGTACTTAGAGTTCACTGAGGTGCTCTGGGTGCGAACTCAGCTTGCACAATTCCATTAAGGTTAAAGCGGCAATGAACACCACCTTGCTGCTGCATCTTGATTGACGCCATCTGTGGGACGCCAGCTCTGCCTGAGGAGAGCTGGGCGAGTTCCACTTTGAACTCTGGTCTCAGGCCCGTAACTGTGGACCCAAATTTTATCTTCTGGGCTCATTCTTAATTTTTTAATCACTTATTTATTTATTTATTTACTTATTTATTTACTTGGTACAGGGTCTTGCTACTCAGCTCGGACTCACAGTAATCCTCCTCACAGCCTCCCCAGCACTGGGATTACAGGTGTGTGCGAGTACACCCGGTTTCTGGGGCTGTTTTGTGCTCATTCTATTTCTTTTCTTTTCTTTTCTTTTCTTTTCTTTTCTTTTCTTTTCTTTTCTTTTCTTAAGAGAGTACAGGGGGCCAGTCCAACAGCTCAGCAGACTAAAATGCCTGCTTAGTCAGAGTGCAGCGGTCTGGGTTTGATCCCCAGTGTGCCATGCTGGCCCTGCCCCCCATGGGGGCTGTGCTGGGACCAGCAATTGAGACTGGGCAAGGTGGCACATGCCTGTAATCCCAGCTCTTGGGAGGCTGAAAACAGGAGAATCACTATGAGTCTGATCTGTGTAGTGAGATCCTGTAGACCCTATAGACCCTGTACTAAATAAAAAAAATAAAAAAAAAAAAGAGAGCACAAAATAGTATTAAAACAGAAAAATTGAAAGTGATACAGAATTTCTCTTGACAAATATGAATGTCAGAGTACTTACTGTAATGCATAGTGCTGTCTTTCAACCATTTATTCCTATTACTGGATTTATGCACAAAATTGGAAGAAGAAAGGAGAAAAGGGTGACGGTACAACTCCACTGAGACTGTTGCTCGTGGCCTGGGTTTTGCAGCACGCTTCAAAGCACACCTTCTCTCCCCTCCAGTTCACAGTGGACTGACTGCCCTGAACAGGCTGAAACACGGCTTAGGGGATTTGTGGATTGTGGCATGAAAGGACAACCTGTTCTTTAGAAATCAGGTAGCTCTCCTGGTGGGTGTTACCTCATCTCTGTTTCCCTCAGAGATTCCGACTTCCTTTGCTTTTGGCCTGGTGGCTGCTAAAACCTGCTCCAGTTCATCCTTTTCAAATAAATTGGGCACTTCGCCTGAGTTCAGGATGTTATTTATGTCCTCTAGGAACTCTTCCACTACTATCTGCAGAAGAAAGCAGTTATCACTGTAACTCAAGCATTTTGCACTTATTACAGGCAAATTATAAAGGAAAGATTTATTTTTTAAATGACTATGAGTTCATTTCATCATTAAGAAATGATAACCTTAAAAATTAGATGGATTTCAGTACTTGGGGGGCTGAGGCAAGAGGATCATTTTGAGTTCACAGCCAGCCTGGGCTACAAAGTGAGCTCAAGCCCAGCCTGAATTGCAGAGGGAAATCTGGTCTCAAAAAGGAAAAAAAAAAAAAAAAAGGCTGATGAGATGATGAGATAGCACAGTGGACTAAAACACCTGCTTAGACAAGCTCATGGACTGTGGCTCAATTCCAGGCATCACATGCTGCACCAGCCCTACCCCCAGGGCGGGCTCAGAGTTCAGAGGTAATGGCACACACTTGTAATCCCAGTGCTGGGGAGGCTGAAAACAGGAGGGTCACTATGAGTCTGAGCTGCATAGTGAGACCCTGTAAACAACCAAATACAAAAAAAAAAAAAAAAAAAAAAAAAAAAAAAAAGAAAGTACTGCGTGCCGTGCAGGCCCTGGAACCCCCCTCTGGCATCACTGTGCCGGCTACTAAAATCAGGTGTGGTGTCACATGCCACAGGAGGATCACTAGGAGTCCAAGCTGTGTAGCAAGGCCCTGTGTCACACACACACACAAAATAAAAGTAAAGAAAAAAAATTGGATGGGATTGTAACATTCTAGCATGTCATGGGTATTGAGTTTTCATTTTTGCTTCTTGCATTGTTTCTTAAAAGGCAGCCGTATCTTACCTGGTACGAGTCATCCATGCAAGTATTTTGTGTCCTGCTCCTTTCAGTTCCTGTGCTGTTATAAATATTAATCCACCTTTTTTGTTTAGAGTATTCAGTATATTTTAGCCACAAATATGGGAGTGGAGGCGCCACAGAGGCACTGCGCTAAGCATTGACATGGACACGGGGGTTTGTGGACCCGCCTGCATTATACAAACACTTTTAAGCCTACACCTATTTTCCCTGGGTGGATTATTCTGTTGGAAATAATTCTCAGGAGTGATACTAAGCAACTAAAGTACGTGGATATTTTCTGGAGCTTGAAGATTTTACTATTTCTCATTCAATTCAAGTATGACTTTAATAATTTTTAACATTTTTTTTGTTAGCTTGGAAAGTATAAATGTTTGTTTTGGGAGAATTTAATTTACATACCTTTGCTGTTTAGCAAAGGTAAATATTATCTTTATTTTTTTTCCATTAAAAATCTGCTCAGATTCTGTAATCATTTATGTATTAGGGTGTTCTTTTAAATATAAATGGCTAATTTATACATTATGAAATAAAGTTTTTGTCTCATAATTGATGCAAATATTTAAAAGTAATTTATCAAATTGGAATCTTCTGACAAGGTAGAAGATCATTTTTTTCTTCATTTGTAACTTTCCGTTTTTTCTCATATAAATTTTCCACAATCATGTCTGTTAGTTTTCCCCAAGAACAAATACTAGCTCTTTTTGTCTTAATTTATTTTTATTATTATTGATTTATTATTGTTATTATTATTATTTAATGTATTTAGTACAGGGTCTACAGAGTCTCACAGATTAGACTTGTAGTGATCCTCCAATTCAGCCTCCCAAATGGTAGGATTATAGGCACGTGCCACCATGCCCAGTCTCAATCACCATCTCAGTGCGCCCTGGGGGTGGGGCCGGCGGGGCAGGGCATGCAGGGGATTGAACTCGGGTACCTGCATCTGCCTAACCAGACACTTTAATCCGCTGAGCTATCTGGCCTGCCCAGTCTGATTTTTTATTATTTATCCGCTGAGCTATCTGGCCTGCCCAGTCTGATTTTTTATTATTTATTCTTTTACCTTACAGTTTCCTTTCTTACTTGTCTTGATTCTTACTTGTCTTGATACTTGCTTGTGCTCTTTTTCCCTAAACTCTGTGTGTGTGTGTATGTGTGTGTGTGTGTATGCGTGTGTGTGTGTGTGTGTGTGTGTGTATTTTTTAGGGAAGGGTCTATAGGGTGTTCAGAGTCTCACCACTAGATTGGACTCGTAGTGATCTGCCTGTTTACAGCCTCCCAGGAGCTGGGATTACAGGCACATGCCACCACGCTCAGTCTCAATTGCTGTCTCAGTGCGCCCTGGGAGGGGGGAGGGGGGCTGGCATGGCAGGCCCGGGGATCGAACCCCTGGCCCCAGCATCTGCTTGCAGGTGCTTTAATCCACTGAGCTATTTGGCCAGTCCTTTCCCTAAACTTTTCAGTAAACTATTTTTTGTTGTTTCTGTAACTTTTTTGATTCAAATCCACATTTTATTGATATTAACTGTATTGTTCCTATTCTCTAAATAGAGATTTTGATTTCATTGATTTTTATATGACTATTTAATGTTTTGAGCCACATCATAAATTCCTCCCTTGATTAAATCAATGGGCCAAGAGTGTTATTAGGAAAGATTATGTTTTCTAAAATGTAATGAAAAACTTATTTAGGCCTAATTTATGATCATTTTTTCACAAATTAATCCTCTTACAGTGTTTTAAAAATTAAAAACAAGTTTAAAACATTTATGCCTCAAGTCTGTCACTTTCTATTCCTTAGTTCATTTTTAGAGTTTTATCCTAAGGTGAAAATACATGAGTGGAGTCAATGTCCTCTAGCATATAATTCAAAACCAGTTAAGTTGGTCATTGTAGACAGAGTAAATTTTGCCTGAAACATAGCATTTTTTTTTTTTTTTTACTTTTCTTGCATAAAGTGTATTTCCCTGATTTTGTTCAAGTAACCATTTTTTTACACGCACTTTTACCTTCTGCTACCTTCTCCTTTCACCCAATGAGCATCAACTTTTCTTTCTTTGACTTTTGATCCTAATTATTTAGAATTTAAAGGAGGAAACTTGGTAAAAATAAGTCAAAGTCTTTTACAAGGTGCAGAAAATCTGTTAACAGAAGCAATGATCCTCTGAACTTCACCCTCCAAACTTCAAAGCACAG